CAGCCTCGCTTGCTCTTTTCTCTCCCTTCGCCCTGTCTCTTATACACATCTAGATGTGTATAAGAGACAGCCGTACACCCATCAAAACTGCTGATAAACGGGTTATGCATGTGTTAGAGATCCCCCCCCCCACCCCAAATGGCTGAACTAAGACCTGTTTATCAAAAGTGGGAACCCTGATGGAATCAGACGAATGGTACAATGCCTTGGGCAGGTCAGTGGGAGATGACATCTCAAGGCCCTCACCCGTTTACTTATATTTGTTTAGTTAGTTAGTTTAAGAAAAGGGGTTTGCAATATTCTCCAAAAAAAAAGGATACAAGCACGGTGACCTCAGTGCATCCAGCAGCTGTAAATAGCAAAAGAATAAAAAAACGAACAAATAGAAGGATGGCGTGCATGCATGCATGCACGATGGCCCCAGGTGAGAGGGTCATTTAATGATACCCAAAAAGAAAACCTAAATCCCCAAAGAGGGTCCTCAAACAAGACCCTAAATAAACCATAGAGAGCATGAACCCAATCATTACACCCCTAAACCCTGGACCTGAAACTCCCGCAAAGCCTGAATTTTTCTGGTTGAGGGTTGAGGGTTGAGGGTTGAGGGTTGAGGGTTAAGAGTTAGGGTTTAGGGTTTAGAAGGCTTGTAGCACCCCCCCTCTTTAGGTTTAAAAGGGGTTCCCGTTCTAGACCCATTTCCAGTTAATGGGGTGCACACAGAGGGTGCAGATGGAAAAGCAGAAACCTTAAACCCTAAACCCAGCTTTAAAAAAGGGGAAACTACGCGGGAGTCACAAAAATGAGTTATAATTGCAGTATGGGCCAAGATACAGTTTGCAATTGCAGATCGGGCAATGTATACAACCCCGCTTTGTGGCCAGGTAGGGTGCCCGAAGTGCAATTGCAAACTGTATCTTGGCCCATAGGAGGAGGAGGAGGAGGAGGAGGAGGAGGAGAAAAGGAATGCAGCCACCAAAGGCCAAGCCAACAAATGGCAGGAGATGCGCCAATGCACCTATGATCATCGTGGGATAGTGGTGCACTGCATGCATCATATTTCAAGTGGTTTAATTAAAATGACAAGAAAGAAGAAAATGAGCTGAAAAGGCCATGGTTTGGGGGGTGGGATGGTCCGTAGCAGGATCCTCCCCCCCCCCCCCCCCCCCCCCCC